CTCGTGGGCCAGCCGGTGCCAGAACTCCAGCGGGATGGAGCTCACCTCCTGGATGGGCAGGTCGGTGCACTGGCGCCGGAGCGCGCGACGATCCGCCGCCCGCAGGGCTGGGTGGCACCGTCGTCGTCGCTGCGCAGCGACGGCGGCCCCGATGACGACGGCGGCGACGGCGGCGACGGCGACGACGACTTCGAGTACGACGGCGGCGGCAACGATGAAGACGAGGACGGCGACGGCGACGACGGCGGCACCTTCGACGGCGATGGCGAGGACGACGGCGACGAGGACGCGGACAAGGGCGACGACGAAGACAACAACGACGACGAAGGCGGCGGCGGCGAGGCCGAAGGGGCCGGCTGGGGTTCAGAATTCGACGCATACCTGCAGCCAAGTGAACCTACTGGTGGTGTCCCATGCCCAGCGTCGATGGTTCGCAGGTGGTCGCAGAGCAAGGGCTCTGGACAGGGAGCAGGGCGGCCCCTCGGCGCGGTGGCCGCGGACCATGCCGAATTTGTTCGCCGAGGAGCGCCGGCATGAGCGTAGACGGCAGCGGCAACGGCGGAGAAAGAAGCCGTGGAGCCGTGGCCGCGTCCGCAAAGCCAGCAGGGATGGGGCCCCAGACCTACGACTCATTGGGACAATCAGGGCAGAGATGTTTCGCTGTTTTCTGCCTTTAGGCGCCCTCGCCAGGCCCCAGGGCCGTCAACAGACGCCTCAGGACGAAAAGCAGGGCTCTGGGGGAAGGGTCGGGACTCCCTGAGGCCCCCGCACTCAGAAAACAAGGCATCGGGTCTCCGTGGCGCCTTCAGGATCACCTGCAGTATGCCGAGGACCTCGTTGTTGTCGCTCTGCTCCATGATCAGGGGGACCTGGAGAAGGGCCGAGGGGCAACGATGAAGGGTGACTGGCTCAGGGGGGGAAACATCGGCCCAGAATCAGCAGTACATCGCCCTCGATAGCGAATCTACACGTTCCTGGGCGGGGTGGGCCTATCTGGCCTCAATGGGCGAGTGGAGGTCGATGCGCTCCCCCCTGAGCCCATCCCCCCTACCCATCGGTCGGAAGAAGTGAGTAAAAGCATGAAGTAGGAAGGCGTTGGAAATAGCTTGGGATTCCGCCCACCCCCTGAGGACAACTCCTTCCAGGGCCTGAGTTACACAAACAACGGACTGATTCAAAGGGATCGCGGGTAAAGGGGGTGGACACGATGGGTGCAGACAAGGGAGCCACCCCAGCCGAGAGGACCCGCCCGTCGCATCAAAACTAAACGATCCCCCATTCAACATCAACTAAATGCGTGGACACACGAAGTGGAAAAATGAAGCACAAGTACGTACCTGTGGATGACAAATCGTACAATCATGCACGCGGCCCTTCCCATCCCTTTCCCCCCATCACAACAGAAGCTTGTATGGTAAGGATGAGGGAAGAGGAAAAACCACTCGGCTCTTGAAGTACGAAGGCGCCTAAAGTAGATTGGGATCTGTTTCAACGACTGGCCTCTAACGTTGCCCCTGGACATAGAGAGGGGCGAGGGAGGCGACCGCCGGGAGATGCGCAGGCTCGGCTGCGGCGACGGGCCTCGAAACTGTCCTGGCTCGGCGCACGCCTGGAGGCCGCAGACAACGTCGGTGGGCAGCGGCCCAGGTAAGTGAGAGAGCACCGAACACCGAAAACTATGAACAACCTGCCTTGGTGTTTTCGAGACGCCGGATGTCTGGGTTCTCTGCTCCAGGCCCACGCCCGCCTTCACGCAGACCCGCCTCCGCCTCCGTTTCCTCCTCCGCCTCCTCCTCGTCCTCCTCCTCTTCCCCCTCCTCCTGCGCCACCTCCTCCTTCGCCTCCTCCTCCTCCTCCACCTCCTTCGCCTCCTCCTCCTCCTCCACCTCCTCCTCCCCCTCCTCATCCTCCTCCTCCTCCTCCTCCTCCGCCTTCTTCTTCTCCTCCTCCTCCTCCTCCTCCTCCAAGAACAATTGCGCACATGGGCGACCGCCTTCCACCGACCTCCCGCCGGGCGTCCACCGGCGGACCCGCTGCCGCTCTGCCACCCGCTGCCGCTGCCGCTCTGCCACTGCCGCCAAAGGGTTCCAGGGGTGCCCAGCTCGCCCCGAACGGCCACCGGAGGCCCTTTCCTGTCGTCCTCCCTCCCTCTCCCCCTCCCCTTCTCGCTCCTCGGCTCCTCGCTCTCTTGCTCCTTGCCTGGCCCGCGTTTCATTGTCGGCCTGTCCCGGTGTCCGAATAAGAGCCGCGGCGCCCCGCACTGCCACGCAGGCGAATAGCCCGGCGTAGAACAACGCACCTGTTCGAGTCGGCCTCCCGTGGCCTTCGCCAGGCCCCAGGACCTTTAAAAACTACTCGGGATGCAACAACGAATCGACGTTGTGAAAAAATGATGGCGCTGGGGGGTCTAGGGATACCGATACCGCCACTCCGTGGACCTCTCCTGGGGCGCTCTGACCAGGGGCCCAAATCGCCGACGGTGTGATTCTTCCAATCCGGAGAATCGGTCGGGAACTTTGGGAGGGTCCCAGGAGATCCGACGTGTCGTTGTTCAACGCGGGGTCCCCGACAGATCTTGCGAGGACGCAACGTTAGGGGGGGACCGGCTCAAGGGGGAAACATCGACCTGGAATCGACGGTACATCGCCGATAGATCGGAAATAGGCCCGCGATAGCAAATCAGCCCGTTGGCGGGCTATCGGTCCTCTATCGGCGATGAATGAGCGATTGGTGGTCGATCCATCCGCGCTGAGCCTATGCCCCTCCTTCCTATTGCCGCTGAACTCTGGAGGTGCCAGGTGCACTGCTAAAACGCTGCAGGAACTTCTCCACCGCGCTGCTGCCCCAGAGCATGTCGCCCCCATGCAGTGCGACGACGGCTCAACTCCACCGCGTCACACTGGGAAACCAAGAGATCCCAATACCGCTGCTCTCCCGGAATTTCGAGGCAAATCCAGCCGTGGCGACGAGGGCCTCCCAGGGGGCCCGACACGACTCGGCGGCAAGCGAGGGAGGGAAGTGAGAAGGGGCGGGCCTTCTCAGAAGGCTCGGAAGTCCCCCGGCCGTCTGAGAAGTTCCCTGGGCCTTCCCCGAAGACACCGACTCCTGAGAAGGCGCGAGGGCTTCTGAGAAGCCCCGCCGCCTTCTGAGAAGGCCTTCTCGTTCTCACTTCCCCCCTCGCTCGCCTCTGACAGACGGAAACGAGGCAAGGGAAGCGGATGGGTACATCTTCCTCCTTCGACCTCATCGCTGCAGTGCTGTCCTGCTGCAGCACTGTCGGCATCGGTCTGGCGCGCTGCTGCAGGGCAGAGGGCCAGTGCCGCTGCGGCGTGACGGTGCCTCCAAGGCGCTCCGGGGGAGCCTTCGTCCGGCGCCGTGGCGGCACGCTTCGGCCAGGAGCGGCAGCGCCCGCGCGCTGACAGCTCGGCTTGGCCAACCGCGCTGCAGGCCCTCATCGGCGGCGAACGGCGTGACTTCTCTCAGAAGCCCTCGCGCCTTCTGGGAAGCTTGTTTTTCTGTCTTCGGGGAAGACTGGGACAACTTCTCGGAAGGCGGGGGACTTCCGAACCTTCTGAGCAGGCCTTCTTCTTCTCACTTCGCCCCTTCGCTCGCCGCCAGCCTCAGGCCCAGAACAAACAAAAAATCACACGGGGTCCTCCCGCCGAGCGCTGTCGCCGCGGCGCCGCCATATCTCTACCAAGCGCTTGAGCGGGCGGCGCCACGCCCAGACTCTGGCCTCCCTCCTCTCTTGCCTCGGGAGGGGCTCGAGAAGCAATTATCTACCAAGCCGTCTGGTCGGCCAAGGAGCTGGGTGTATGCACGCTGCGATGCAGGAGCGTCCATGCACCACCAAACTCCTTCGAGTTCATGCGACGAGCATGCTGGGGAAACCAGACGGCACCGATATCGCGACACACTGGACCTCTGGGGGGGGGGTCTGACCAGAATTTCGAAGCGAATTCAGCGCTGGCGCCGAGGGTCTCCCAGAAAGCCCAAGAAGAAGGAAACGAGGTAAGGGTACATCCCAGACGAAGGGCATAATAACATTCTCCAAGCGTATGAGACCCTCCGCCGGCCAAAACACCCCCAAACATAAGATCACCGAGAGTGCCCCTCCCCAGGATGCACAAGCACATGCGACAAACACGAAGAGCAACCATTGGGGCACCTTCCCCGAGCCGACCCCGATAGCATCGTCGGTCCGACGGCAGCGGTATGGTTACCTTTCCCTCCTCTGAGTATACGCCCAACCCGTCCGATGCCCGCCTCCTCTCCCCGCCGCTCGCTGCCCGATCCCCGGGGGGGGGCGCGCCAGGCACTCCCCGGTCTCCACGTAGATGCGGCAGATCTGCAGCACTCCGTCCTGGTGCGGCACGGGCCAGCCGGCGCGCCGCGGGGGCTTCCATGCGGTGCCAAGATGGGTCCGCAGAAGGCCGGAGGCCCTCCGAGCCTCCTGAGAAGGGCCGCCCCCTCTCACTACCCCCCGGGCTCGCCGCCGACCGATCCCCTCGGGCGCTGGGCTTCCGCCAGAGCTGCGATGCCACCCAACTGCCGAACGACGCGCGCGCGAGGTCCAAGTCCTTCCCCGATGCCAGTGTCGGCCCAAATCTCAGACGGTGAGCATCGCTTAGTGGGGGGGCGATAGATGGGGGGGGGGGAGGAAGGTGCTGCACTTTTCTGGCCCTCAAGGCCCCCATTTGAGCTCTAAAGGGCCCCTTCAAGGGCCCTAAAGGGCCCCCCAAAGATAATCTGATGCTGTCAATCCAAACGTTATTCCTTCATGTCGACATCCGGGGCCCGTTTTCAGGCCCAGGGACCATCACTAATCGGCGGCGCGCCCGGGGGGAAGGGCGCAGGGGCGGGCCTTCTCAGAGGCTCCGAAGCCCCCTGGCCGTCTGAGAAATTATCTAAGCCTTCCCCGAAAACACTAAAAACCTCTCAGAAAACTAAGGACCTTCTGAGAAATCCCGCCGCCCTCTGAAAAGGCCTCCTCCTTTTCACGTCACCCCCAGGCGCGCCCCTGAAATAAGGAACCCGCCGGGACGAAAAGTTGCCCCTGGGGAAGGGCTCGGGGCTCTGGGGTCGCGGACGGACAACAACATGTTCCGTTGGCGGCGAGGCAGAGCTGGCTGCACCAGCGATCAAGTTAAACGGGGACACCGAAAAGCGAATTGGCCAGCATGCAGGAGAAAGGAGAGGACGGACAGGGCGGCCGCGGAGGGGGTGAGGAGCGAACGGAAAACACACACACACACACACACACATATCGGAGGATGTCTGCGACAAAAGGGGGGGCTCGCCGCCTCCTCGAGGAGACGGAATCCCCTGCACCCTCCCTGGACCCTGCCAGAGACGCCCAGGAACACAGACGCCGCAAAGCATCCAGAACCTCCTCGGCCCTCGATCGATCTGGCCTCCTCCTCCTCCCTCCTCCTCCTCCGCCTCCTCCTCCTCCTCCTCCTCCTCCTCCGCGACACCCCATTTCCAGGAGCAGCTGGCGACCCCCCTGGTGGTGACCCCCCCCCCCCCAGTGGCGCTGCCCGAGACCACGGGGGACCTCACCCGTCCTGCCGATCGATCACCTCTTTCGCGTGTGCGTGCGCGCCCCCTCGGCTGACCGCTCCGGCCCGCTCTACGCGGAACTCTTCCACGTCTGAGCGCTTCCTCCTGCTCCTCCTCCCCCCGCGCGGCCGCCCTCGTCCTGTTTCCTCCCTCTTGCACGCCGGACAATTCGCCCTTCGGTTGCCCCGAAGAGCCACACGCTGGAGCGGACTGCCTCTGCCTCGCCGCCGACGGAGAAGCGTGCTTGCGCGCCCAGATTGAGGCCCAGAAGCCTGATGTTGTTTGCTCACTCCCG